GGATTGGATGGATCAACAATAGATGGGAATGGATCAAGAATGAGTGAGGCTCTACTGCTGTTGGTAGCAGCATTACACATTGCAATTAACAGGTCAACAACCTAAAAAAGTAATAATATAAATGTGCATGTACACTTATCTGATACACAGAATTATAGTGTTTTTGCATGTTGAATAACTTATTTTCATAGTGTATATGTACATATGGTGAATAGTGTTAGTTAATGTGTTATTGTATGTTAGTTCTTACACTGGCATCAGTTGCTACTGATTCAGCAGCATCAGCCATTACTCCTAGTGTTTGGAAAGCAAAGACACACAACTCTCTTGTACATACACACGGCTATAGAGAATAAAGAAAGAAAAGAAAGAGAGAAAAGAAGAATGTAATGGAATGGAATACAGTTCAATAAATAATGCATGTGTGTCATTATTGATTATATGATTACTCTTAGTAGTCCTGTCTCCAGTACATGTCTCTCATCACAGATAACACAAAACTCATTCAATGATGGGATCCTGTTCAAAGTGTACTTCATTATCTAAAGGAATATATATACCACAAGTTAACATTGATAATGCAAAAAGCATAAAAGCTATATTATAGGGTATTTAGCGGTTAATTTTACCTGACAAAGGAATCCATTTTCAAGACTTGGCTGTATTTTAACATCCTATAATGATTAAAAGAAGATGTGTTATTACAATAGTACACCACATAGACATTAAATAATTTTCAAAAGGATAAATGAAAATATATTGATGCCTATACTAGTCATATGTTACATGCATAACCTTTGTAATGATAACAATTCCAAGAGCTGCTGTGGTATAGAACTAATTAAATAATGTTCCACAATTCCAGGAACTGCACTATACAAACCATACAATCCCAAGAACTGTATTCCAGGAACTGCACTATATGCAAACCAATCATAACTATTCAAAGGACAAAGGGTCATTGTTATCAAACTATTATATCTAGGCATACAGAGACTGTCAAGAGTGGAGTGAAATCTAAAATGGCATCAGCTGCTGATGAAGTTCTTGTTATTGGATCTCAAACCTTTCCATTAGTTCAAAAGCAGTTGCGTCCAAAGGACTACAAGCCTCCATTTAGCAGAGCTAGAAAGGTTCCTCGTAAAGATGCTAACTATCGGGTTACTGAAGGAAACATTGCTGCTATTGACTTTGGTACTACATCAGTTTCACTGGCTTACACTACCAAAGGATATGATAATGTCAATACACTCATTCTTGATATTCAAGAGAAAGCAGCAAGAGATACCAATGCTGTCCTGTTCAAGAGAGAAGGGAAAGTTATATCAGTGACAGCTTTTGGGAATACAGCTAGATCTCAGTTTACAACAATGAAAAAAGCTGAAAACTATGATCAAGAGAATATCTATTTTGAAAGAATTAAAATGATATTAAAAAGAGAAAATGTAAGTTATAATTATGGTAGATCAACAGTACATGAAGATTTAATTTACTTATTCTTGCAGGATCTTGACAGACAGACACTAGCTGATTCATTTTCTGGTGAGAAGTTTTATCTGATTGAAGTCATTGCCTTCATACTGCAGTACTTGAAGGACCAGTTGATAGATCATCTCTCTCGTGGTGTTGCACCATTAAAGACAACAGATTTTGATTGGGTCATTACTGTACCTGCTATATGGGATGCTCGAGGAAAAGGAATGATGAGAGAAGCTGCATATATGGTTAGTAATGAAAGTTCAAATCTTATTTTTATTATTGCATAGGCTGGTTTGCTAATAGAGTCTGGTGGTATCAGTGAGTTTACTCCTATATCAAGCAATCCTTTACCAATACCAGATGAAGTTAATCCTGACAAGCTATCACTAGCATTAGAGCCTGAAGCAGCAGCTCTTTATAGTCAGGAAACAGTAGTAGAGCAGATCAAACGCCAACCATCATTAGCAGCTATCAGTCATCCTACAGAGTATATGGTAATTGATGCTGGAGGGGGTACAATAGATATCACTGCTCACATTGAAGTAGATGGAGGTATTGTAGTCCAGAATGTACCTACTGGCAATGCATGGGGTGGTACACAGGTAAATGAAGAGTTCTCTAAACTACTTCAAGAAATTGTTAATGATCCTGGCTTCAAAAAATTTATTGCTTTAGGAGATCTCACCAAAAATCAAGCTACGCTTAATAAAATTGTGTACAGTGAATTTGAAAAACAAAAGGTGCTATTTGGCCAAAGAAAAATGGAAGAAATTGCAATAGAACTTCCACGAAACTTTGTCAAATTCTACGAAGAAGCTCTTATCGAAGGAGTAGAAAAAGTGAGTGGTACAGACTATGATCCAGATGAAAATGACACACTTCGTATTGATAAAAGTGCCACAGAGTCTAAGCTGTTTGGTCCAGTTATTCAAGGCATTATTGATTGCACACAGTCAGCTATTGATAAAATTGACAACTGCCCAAACACATTTTACCTGGTTGGTGCTTTTGGAGGATGCAAGTATGTTCATGAAAAGGTCAAGACTGCTATAGAAAGTTACTATCAGTCTAAAGGTCAAAAAGAGACCTGCTTTGTGTTAGTACCTCTTACTCCTCAATTAGCTGTTGCTACTGGAGCTGCTATGTGGCGTAAGAATCCTGAGAAATTCAAAGCAAGACGAGTTGATGCCACTTATGGAATAGGAACTGGAATGATATTTGATCCTAAAAAGCATAATGAAGCTTATAAGTATTATGAAGAAGACAGTAAACAGTACTGTTGTGCACACATATTCTGTGTATTTCTAGAGGAAGGTGAATTAGTAAAAGCCAATGAGGTAATCACTACAACACAAATTCCAAGATATTCAGGTAATACTATAATGAAGATCACCATCTTTTCAACACCTCGGCTTGGAATTCAGTATACCACAGATGAGAATAAAAAACTAATTGTTACTGCAATTGGTCAACTTGTCATAGATATTCCTAATCCTGACAATTTGCCTCGTGAAGATCGTAAAGTTGATGTCACAATGGATTTCAGTGGTACAGAGATACAAGCAAAAGCTCACTATCGTGTGACTGGCAAAGAAGTTAAAACGGTCTGTGACTTTCTTTCTACTTAGTCTGTATGTTGATATTAGTATTTCAATAATGCACACACACACACACATCTGTGCAGTTGTACTTATACTGAATTTTCCTTATTCTATATGATGGATAGCAATTTATTCTGAGGCTATTGTATGTTTAAATTATGATCTAGTTACTAAGCCTTGTGTTCATTATTTATTAACTTAAATTTTAGTATTTAACCATTTAACACAAATAGACATACATGTACATCTTTAAGATGTGTAGGTATTATATAGATGCCATACCTCAATACTGTGATGCAACGACACAGTAGCTCTTGCTCCTTGTGAATCCTGTCTCCTAAAAGAACTATAAAAACCAAAAACCACAAACCATAATTAAATAATAAACATAGTACATACACTGGCTTCTCTTCCTTTTCTTTGACCACCTCTTCCTCCAGTCCCTTCCCCTCCTCCTCCTCCTCTTCATCAATCAGTTCTCCAGTGGTCAGTAGGTGAAAGGCTCTCTCTATCTTCTCCCCACACATTACAAGAGCTTGTCTCACTGATGATGGATGGGGGAGGGCTCGGAATTAATTTTAAAAGCTAAACTATTAATAAACAACTGAGTGAGAACGAGCAAAAAATTCACCGTAAATAATGATGATAAATTCACAGCAACAAAAATATACATGTAATCAGTTAATCATATAAATTGTAAAAAACATAATAATATAAATGATGTTTGTACACCACAAACACAATAAAAATCATTAATTTTACAATACTATTTAGTTTTCGAAGCAGTAGAATTATCTAACTTCATTTTTTTAGCTAAAGCCACTGCATGCATAATCTCTTGTTTGAATGCTCTATTAGTCTCAGTGTGAAGAGAAGAGGCTTCACTGGTAGCAGAGTTAGTGTCATATACAAAGAAGAATCTTGTGACTACGTGTTCACTATTGGAGCAGACCCATATGTCACCACTTCTCCTTAATTCTTTACTTGTGACAACTAGCAATGGACAATAAAGAAGAAGTCAATAACACATAGATATGTACATACAAAGATGCATGCAAAAATACTCTTGAGTATAAAAAATTGCTTTAAAAACTTTATTTTTGCATTATACATTCATTTTAGAATACAAAAACAGTTCTAAATATAAATTTAATTTAATTTAAAATGAATGAAAATTAATTTTAAATAAATTAAAACTGATTAAAATGAATTATATGTTGATTTAAAATGAATGGGTACATTATTCTTATAAATTAGCTGACAGAATTAATACACTATATTGACTGATTTACCTTCACACAGTGCAATACATGTAATGTTGAGCTTTCCTGCTAGTGTCTCCAACTGCTTACCACTGCTACCCTACAGTAATACCTCACCTTTACTCTTTGTGTGTATAAATATCTCTTCTACATGCTTTTTCTGTCTCTCTCTTTTTCTCTTTTTACTTTTTTCTGTGATGATGGATCATAATAATATCTGTTACTGTATCCAAATGAAGTCATTGCATGAGGACTGAGGTATATACCACTACCATAGGCAGCACCATTGAGCTAGTAAAATATAAATCAAATAAATAATAATTTAATAAAATAGAAAATAAACATGTCTATTTAACAATACACATACATTGTACCTGGTATTTAGTTCCTGATGCATTTATTAATCCTTTCCTCATGATAGAGTGCCAGTTTTCTATACTAGACCCACTGTAGAGAAGAAAGGATTGCTATTATAGCATAAGGACATCAATATGTATCTAATAAAAATTGGGGGTCATTTCAGAGCCATTTTTTGGAAAAATCCCTGTACGGATTTTTTAGATTTTGGCCAATTTTTAAAAATGGCCGTCACTCAAAAATTTAAAGTTGGAATCAGCTCAAACTTTCTACACAGCATAAGGACGTCAATATGTATCAGAAAATGTAATAAAAATTGGGTGTGATTCAGAACCATTTTTTGAAAAAACCATGGGCTATTATAGTACAGTGATTCTTTTCATATTTTGGCCAATTTTAAAAATGGCCATAACTCAAAAATTTAATGTCGGAATCAGCTCAAACTTTCTATACAGCATAGGGACGTCAATATGTAACGGAAAATTAAAAAAAAATTAGGTGTGATTTTGGAGCCATTTTTTTAGAAAAAAACCATGAGCTATAGTACAGTGATTTTTTCAGATTTTGGCTGATTTTTTAAAATGGTCATAACTCAAAAATTTAAAGTCGAAATCAGCTTAAACTTTCTACACAGCATAAGGACATCAATATGTATTGGAAAATTTAAGAAAAATTAGGTGTGATTTTGGAGCCATTTTTTTAGAAAAAACCATGAGCTATAGTACAGTGATTTTTTCAGATTTTGGCTGTTTTTTAAAAATGGTCATAACTCAAAAATTTAAAGTTGGAATTAGCTCAAACTTTCTACACAGAATAAGGACGTCAATATGTATTGGAAAAATTGGGTGTGATTTTGGAGCCATTTTTTGGAAAAAACCATGGGCTATAGTACCACTATTATTATTATTATCATATTATTATTATTACTATTGTACTATGCGTTTAGTTCTTCTGTTATTTTATTATTAGGCTAATGTATTATTATTATGCTCCTTTGTGTAAATTACCGTATCTTTTTCAATGAGATTTGAGAGTGATGACCCAATTTAAATGGGCTATAGTACAGTGATTTTTCAGATTTTGGCCAATTTTTAAAAATGGCCGTAACTCAAAAGTTTAAAGTCGGAATCAACTTAAACTTTCTACACAGCATAAGGATGCCAATACGTATCAGAGTATACATTCCACTCAATCCATTGACTTACTGAAATGCAAATGTGCTCCCGTGTTTAAGTTTAGCTTGTTGGAAAGCCATCTCTTTAGCTGGTGGACTACTGATCAATAGGAACTGATACTTAGTGTCCATTGACTTTAATTGCTAGAAATAAATAAATAAATGAATAAATAAATAAATAATATACTTACCCTGTCCTCAGGAAGCATTACAATATAAGCTCTGTTAGTTGCTACTATCCTATTGAATACAATACAGTATTTAATCAATATTCATTATTGTACAGTAGACAATGTACAGTAGTAGAGTATAATATAATGAATGAGGTTACCAT